AATGTAATTTGTAGCTTGGAATCTTATAATCGACCTTAAAGACTTCCCTCTTTTCTATTTGCTGCCTCCAACCACCTAAATATTTGCTCATTTTGTTTTCTTATAGAACAGTGGCCTAATATGATTAACTGTATTTGACCTTCTGGTTAGATTGCTTTCTTTTTGTACTGGAATTGCATTAAGGCTAGCTTCTCTCTGCTGTTAATTGAAACCAGTAACGTCAAAGGGTGTGCTAAATGGCAGCGTAAAAGTTACTGCAAGACATTCTACAGTTTCGACTTAATGATAAATGGTGATAATGTCGTAATACGATTTTTTAGCTAAGTTATTGACATGTTTGGAACAATGAGAAATAACGCTATTGTGTCTGCGCCGGGATTGAGTATAAACAGAAGCAAATATGGTCGAACAATCCAATTATCCTTAAGCGTCATTCCACTTCACATCACATGGATAACACTTTCATAGTAAACTATTCCCGAGTGTGGTTGTACACGGCGTTTCGACAATAATACTCAAAGGAGTAGTTTAAAATTCATCTATATCTAATATTTAAAATAATTGAATATGCTACATTCTTAATTAATAACTAGCAACACAAATACCAAGGTTTCAATAAAACGTTCCCTTTTTGCAATTGTGAAAAAAAAATATGACCAACATTATGTACTTGTATATAAAGATACTTTTACTGCGAACTTCGTTTGGAAATTGTTGATCTTGTAAGATCGTTCTATCACAATGTGCATGAGTTATATCTATGGTTTTGCGTTAATGCTCTTTTTTGGCCACGTAACCATATCCGGAGCATAAAGCCGTTAAGCCTAGGTTGTTCAGTGTTTTAACACTACATGTATATGGTTTGATACCTTACCCGTGAAATGTTCCTTTTGTTTAAAAATTGAGTGCACCCACAAAGATTGTCTACAACACTTAATACAACACCTCTAATACAACGCCTAATACCTTATACAATACCTAATACAGCACCTCTAATACATCACCTCTAATACAACACCTAATACAACACCTAATACAACAAGTAATCAATTCACTATCATTTGTGTAATCCGTATAAATATTGACGCTTTAATAGCTTACAACTAATGCTGCATTAGTTTCCATAAGTAATGCTTGGTTTCGGCTTGCTTGGAGTTTCCGTGATCCGATTTTACGCGTAATCCTTCCATATCAATTATACTGCAACTGACAGAATTCACTTAGGAGGAAAAAAGACGATTCGATACATTATCGAAGCCGATGTTTCTCTTAAAAAAAAAGTCGTAGCGTAGTTCGGGCTTGACCAAAATGTGGAAATTTTCTTCACGATGGTCCTCCCAGACCCCCTTTCTATTTGGAATACGGATAGGTAAAATAGAAGTATTTATTATGTAACTGAATGGAAACATGCTGTAAAGATGAGTATGTATAAGTGGATATGTATTAAAAGATAAAATATGGATATCTTGGTCATTTAGGTTTTGGTGTGATCTGCACGCGAGTGGTTCGAGTAACAAGAATCAGAAGGAAGGATCTCTATCAGTGTCAGACGGGCCATTTAGAACCACTCGTAATATGCTCCTACGAATAAATACGTAATGCGTAGTTATCAAATTATTTAATTGGCATTTAAATGAATGAATCTATGTAATTGGAAGTCTATTCCATGAGTAAGGTGTATTGGAAACTATTATTACATCAAGTGCTCATGATAGCTGCATTGTTGTTTTGTCTATTTTCTCGGCAAATTGAAATAGTCTACTGTCACTAATTGTTTTAACTAGCCAACAATCCTTCTTTCCTTTTTTTAAAACTAACTTACCGACCTTTACCGTCCAAAGTCACAACAGATATTAAGTCGTCATTTCTTAACTGAGAATTATAGTCATTTTCAGATTCGAACCGTCTGGAAGTCTCAGATACGAGAATAGTTACTTGCGAAACTTCAGCAACATAAGCTGAAATAGGTCTGTTATTTGACGTTCGCTCGGCGTGGAACTCTGAGTACAGGTGGTTTTATGTTCTGTTTTAATATTTCTAGTTATTTAACTACATGCAAACCGGTTGTAAAAATTGTATTTTGAAAAGCAACAAAATATTCCTTGGCCAGTACAACTAAAAATGTAAGATGAATGCTTTCAATATTTTATAGGCTGTAACTTAGATGTTCTGATACCAATCGGTCATGAAGCTTTTGTTAACTTTTAGATTCAAGTGGCATCAGTTTCTCTTAAATCAATATTTTCATTTATTTTGTCAGTAACAAATCCGCATCACAAATCCATTCGATTATGCTTAAATAGAGTTTTATAACAGTCATGAATTTTAACTTGTCAATTTGTTAGTTTTTTAGAATTAAACTATAGAAAGCTGATAACAAGGAGAAATCTTAACCCACACAACTAAACGATAATCACTTTAAGAGCCAGAAACAACTCTACGGAGTGCATTTAATTTGTTTGTACTTCATTCCATATTGCGCACCAAACTTGTCCACATTGTCAAGCCATTGATTTTCTTCAAGTAGATTGATTTGCTCTTAGTTTGAGTAGCTAAGTATTCTGTACATTGACAATTACAGAAATCACTTACAAAAACAATACGCTGTACAGTATCATTCGCAAAAAAAAGGTCACACATTTTACTCTCTTAAATTATTAAATTTTTGTTACTCTTATTATCGTATTCGTGTTTTGAGTAGTTTCAGTACAAATTGTTTGTCAGTTTAAAACAAAGACAATGCAAGTACTTCTCTTTACAGAAGTCCGCTACAGTACAACTTTTACTCCCAATTTTGTCATTCTTGATGATACTTTTTAATTGGCGGAATTGTCTTGCTTGTACAAATTGTTATTTTAAAGATCTGCTATTTTTAAGTCTGACTAAAATTTCACAGCAGACAAATAACAAAATCTAACGATTTAACTCTACCAAACTTTGTCCGTAGGAAAACCGGATATTTCACTGTCGCATTCGTCTCTCTTGCAGTGATTTAAACTGAAGTCATTTTTCACTTCACGTGGATTATTTGATCTATTTTGAAGGTAACAAATCCGCATCATATTTGCACTTAATATAACAGCCACGAATTTTAACTTGTCAAGTTTATATGAACACAATTTTATAGATAACAATTACTTTAATAAATAACTTGCAACGTTTCGACCATGATCATAATTTATTAAAGTAATTGTTATCCATTAAATTGTGTTGATATAGTCATACCTCAATTACTTAATGCGACTTAATGAAGTAACTTGTTAAGTTGATATTTTAGAATAAACGTATAGAAAAACTATAACTGAGATAGACCTAAATTCATCACTATACAACTCCATAGAGTTTATTTAATTTGTTTATACCTCAATCCATATTGCGCACTTAACTTGTCAAAAAGTAATCAGAAAATTCATTGCCACCTTCGTCTCTCCTGCAGTGATTTCAAGGGAGATAAGTTTTCAAGTCACGTCTCAGATAATACGGTCACCGATTTGAAGATTCAGAACATTATTTGATCTATCGCCAACTATATTTAGAAGTTCTATATCAAAATCTCTGAATTTCGTTATGGCACTCAATCTCCTGATATTTTCACTGACGTTTCCCAGAAAGTTAATACCTTTTTGAAATTTCAAGAAGTCTTCTAAATAACAAGCTGGGTTCTTTTCATTTCTGTGAAACCATTTCAAACCACATATTTTACAAGTATAACAACTTAGGTTCACTGGGTCCCTTTCTACCAGCTGGTCCTTGGTCAAATCTCTTGGTAATGATTTTACAAGGATAACAACTTAGGTTCACTAGGTCCCTTTCGACCAGCTGGTCCTTGGTCAAACCTCTTGGTAATGATTTTACAAGGATAACAACTTAGGTTCACTAGGTCCCTTTCGACCAGCTGGTCCTTGGTCAAACCTCTTGGTAATGATTTTACAAGGATAACAACTTAGATTCACTAGGTCCCTTTCTACCAGCTGGTCCTTGGCCAAACCTCTTGGTAAAGATTCTACAAGGATAACAACTTAGGTTCACTAGGCCCCTTTCTACCAGCTGGTCCTTGGCCAAACATCTTGGCATTGATCTTTCCCGGATTATCCGTACCCATTTACAACTGGGTCGACTGGATTTATGAGTGAAGATGACTTATTCAAGGTTATCTGACTATCACACGCCGATCGAGAATTGAATCCACGTATGTTTGTATTTTAATTGAGTTGTGTTAATGTATATTATATAGAATTGTATGAAGCGGAATAATATAGGCCTAATCTGACTCCTAATCCTTTTCATAATGTATATTTAAATATATTTGTCAATAAAATATTGTTTACACACAAATAATAAATATATTGACAACAAAGTATTTCTCACGATCATGTTCGTATCTCGTCAAATTCGGGTGTTGTGGAGAGCTGGTTTCTTGATGGATTTTGACGAACCTGATGTGAGTGTTTGCAATCACTCAAGGATGAATCCGACCAAAATTAATGCCCTGTTCTTGCAAAGTCGTTGTGTACACGATAGAGAGCTGGTATCTTAACGGATTTTGATCGAACTTGGTGTATTTGTAATCACCCAAGGATGAACCCTATTGAAAATCAGAAAAATAATTAGTATGAGTTATTGCCGTGTAAACACCAGAAAAGGTTGTGAATAAAACTATTAAAGTATTAAAAAATGTTACTGTGGGAAGGTTTCCTTTACTGATAGCTCCTGTCAACCTCCAGGATAACTTGGCTGTCATTTCAATTGTAGGCGTATTACGATGGCCATCTCTAACATATTATTGTCTGTTAATATTCACTTGGAGCATAGAATTATTGTATAGAGTAAGTGTGGATGAACCTTTATACTTTTTTTGTCATTTTCTTTGTCGCTGAACGAAAATATCCTGATTATTTATGAAATGTTTTTATTTCTTTTCAGATATAATGCCTTATTGTGAGAACACTTCCGAGGGGCCAGAACCTCTACCAGAGCGGCCAGTGGGAATGGTGATAGGGATGCTGTCGTTCTTCAGTTTTCTGGGATGTATCGGAAATTCCTTAGTGTTATATGTGTATACCCGCAAACGAAACAAACTGGCATCTACTGTGTTTATAATATCGTTAGCAGGCGCCGATTTCGTAACGTGTGTGCTGGTCATGCCATATACCAGCGTCGTAGAATATACTAATTATGAAATCAAATACGATATTTTATGTAAATTGTATATGTTCCTTATTACTTGCAACGTTCCGTTCTCAGCATTTGTTATGGTGGCTATTGCTTTGGATCGCTTTGTGTGTATTTGTCATCCTCACTGTCATGCCTTGGATTCACGACGTGCTCGACAGATTATTATGGGATTAGCCTTTTTGGTGCTCATTATAGGGATCATCACTTCACTGGTACATGGAGTCTACCAATATACCCTCATTCCTGCGGAACAGGACATCCTGGAAACTGCGAATCTTACTACTCGTGGTTATCAAACTGTGGAGTCGAATTGTACATTATCAGACAATTTTAACTGCACAATGGGTACACATATAGTGTTTGTTCAGCCGAATTGTACCATACCTGTGATGGAAAGAATGATAGAATATTCTGGTGTGTGCATGACCAATGAGCTCATTTTATCGAAGACATTTCGGAAGACTTTTCAAAAGGTGTATGCTTTAATGTACCTCATGTGCCTCGTGGTAGTCGCTATCTTGTATACGCTCATTTATAAATCTGTATTAGAACGAAGGGCTCGTCGCTTGAAACAACGTCGTGCCACTCGTATTTGTCTTTATCGAGAAACGTCGATGACGGAGACTCCAGAAACAACAGTGCCTACGACAAATCTTTCGCGTTTTACGGAAATATCGGAGCCTCAAAAAGCTATGATTGATAAGGAGGTATCTCTAAAAGAAAAATATTGGTTAGCCAACATTAGGACTGCTGGAATGTTGTTCGTGGTAACTTTAGTGTTTATTATTGCCTTCTTACCGTCCTGGTTAATGGCTCATGGTCTAGTTCCATTTAACACTGTTATGTTCTATATGTATTTTGCTTATCACGTTTCCAATCCCATAATATATGCCTTTATGAACCCTGCTTTCCGGCGGGAAATGCGTGACGTACTCAGCTGTCGGAGGTGTAAAAACCAGTCTCTGTGACTTATGTGACTTGTTTTGTTGTTCATTAGTTGACATTGTTCCATATCGATTCGGGTGACATTTCCCATTTAATATTAGAATCCATTACAAATCTTAAAACGCATTATAAAGTTTTTTCTTGCACAATCCAAATTATATTGTATTTAAAGATTTCTCTATATTTACCATTCGAGATATACAGTAATACCATTTCTTATAGACAGACAATATAACCTTTCTTAAATACAGACAGAAAGAGATAGTTTATCAACATAGGTTTATGTTTTAATGTTTCTATTTCGCTCACTTTTTTTACAGTGAAAATATTTTGTTTTTTAAGAATATAGTAATATGCTGTTGGAAATGAATTTGAAACATTTGCACATATTTATACCAATTAGAAATATTTTATTGTACCTGCCATATAGCCAGTGTGAAATTATCCGCGAGAGCACTTCCATAAAATTGGAAAATGATCGCAGAATATCTTGCATGTTCGATAGAAGAACGTCCTGTCCTGAATATTTGCTATTGTGTCGTTGATCCTGATGTTTTCTCTTTTTGTGAGCTAGCTGAAAGACCACGAGCTCATTCACTGATTCCGGTAGCTTTGCTTGTGGCACCCAAATCAAGTATGGGACGACCACACATCCGAATTATTTACCGACGCCAAAACATCCAAATGTGTTCCATTAAAAGACTGGAAGTGTACTTAGTTCCTTACAATTAAATAATAACCTAGTCGCGTATGAAACAATAACACTACAGTTTTGGTGAATATTTTTTCACCAATCATACCCTAGTCTCAGAAACAGGAATTTTTTTTAATGAACCAGTAATCAGTAATCGTATTCAAAGTTCATCGTCGTAATTTGAGCCTTCAAATCTATGTGTGTCTAGAGATATTCCCGTTTGAATTTTAAAATGACGACTCGTAAATTTAAGATACTCTGTGATATATAGAAAAGACGTATAAAGAAATAGTAAAATTACTAATTGAAGTATTTTTAAAGGAATTATGCGATTTCCTTACATTTCAAGTACTTCTAAAGACTATTTACATACATTCAACATTGAAATCAACCCATCGAAATAGCTCTACTGTCGCATTAATTAGAACATAAACAAATGAGTGTCTACTGCTCCAGATACAGAAAGGAATAGCTCCTCATAGGGCGATACAAATTTCATAAAACAATCTTTGATAATACATTGTATTGCTTCCAATATGCTATATAAAACTACTCATATTTTATATCTGCCCCCAACGAGAATACTTTTTTTTTCCTGTTTATGTTGTAAAAGATTTGTTTGTTAAACTGTAAGCAATCTTGTTAAGAATTTTTGTTATCGATTTAAGTTACCTTTAGTCGTTCAAAGTGATAAACTATTTTTGTTCATGTATCTTACAGTCAAACTGTTTCGGGTGAGATTCTTGATGTCCCGATCTTTTTGGTCAATGGTTCTTCTCGACTTACTCGACGGAAATGTTTTGGCTATGATTGTGAAGAATTCTTCTAAAAGTGTAACATCGTATGGATGAAAGTCAAAATCTCTATTTGCTTTCACTTTTAATTGAAAGGGGCATTCCGCTTTTTTGTAAAACATTTTCAATACCAAAAACGTCATAAAATATACCTGAAAATATTTCTAAAGTATGCTATTTATATCTATGTATCAACCTGATCAAAATGAATTTGTTTTAAAAGGGTAAATTAAAAACAGAGAGTACTAATTGTTAATTAAGCAGTTGACCTAGATTCAATGATAGGCTTTATAACGGTTCGTTATATTTAGTTGAAATCTTTAGAAAACATAGAAGACATATTTCTCTACAATTAAGCGTTTATTTTACTTAAATCTGTTCAGTAGTTTTCTAACAGCGTGTAACCAGCATAACGGCACATACATTGCTAGAGATTTTGGTTTAAAATTTTGAGCAAAAAACATTTTCGTCCTACAACAAAAAGCGGAATGTCCCTTTAATGAGGCAAATTATATATATACATGTATGTAATATTTCGTCAGACCAGGATAAAGTAGACTTTGAGATCAACAAAATACAGATAAAAAAAAGTGTGATAACGTATGTCATATTTGTACTAAGTGACAAATGCACCGAAGGACTACAGACAATTTCTCTATCATATGCTAAATTTAACCTTTTAAGTAGAATAAGCTGAACATGAATCCATTAATGTTTTTATTCCAAAATTTAATACACTGAGTACATTTTCATTAATATCATGTTGAATTATTTAAATTTGAAATCAATGCACCTCATTTTTACCGAATAACCCTTTCACTCGTTATATATAATTAATTTTGTTAATATAATTTATGTTATGAATAAAAAATATGAAATATGTAGCTTCTAGTTTTTAATGAGATGGAATTTTACAACCTTGTGAAGAAGTTGGTTCCAGATCACCATGTATTTAGTTACAGCTCTGCTGTGAACTTGAAATTTACTGACAAAAAACAAAATCAATAGATAGTCTATCTGCTTTAAAGAACAGTTTATATATACTTATAAACTTTAGCGATTTTACTGAATTAGACAATTTAATAATATTATATTTTTTATGAAGACTTACAAAGAGATTATGCTCAGAACAGTTCTTTTAGACTACAGGTAATGTGTTAGAGAACAGTACTTCCGCCATCTCGACAGGTTTCGACAACGTCACAGTTTAGGTTCCATTCTCGTCTTTATGTAAATGTTTATCAGGGAACCACCTGTGTAGTACTGTCACTTGTCGTCCAATCACCCAGTGCCATTCCATCAGCATACACATTTTATACTACTTCGGATGGAAATCGTGACCATTCATATTAAACTCTTTTTTTAAACGTATTAAGCAAGTCAAGGGCCATAACTCAACAAATTCATAGAGCGTAAGAATCTTTAATCTACATCGGTTGACACCAGCTTCCTACATGATAATCGTTCTTATTTGTAAACGTCAAGGGCAATAACTCCAAATGCCGAAACAGCACCAACGTCGAACTATATCATACAATCGAATGAAAACCGTAACTATATTCATGCCGACAAACTTGATTCTACATGGTTTCCCTAGGTCAAAAGCAATAAATAAATGATCGAGGGTATAAAAATGGACTAACAATACCAATCAAGTAAGAATAAGAATAAGCCAGACATCCTTACATCTGGTAGACAATGAGAATTCAATTTGTTTAGTACAGTCAACTTTGCGAGAATATAGAACTCCAAGGCCATTAGTCGCATTAAACGAAACAATCCCTTAAGTCAGAGATTTTAAAATGCTAATTTTATTCTGAAATCAACTTTAGATTTTAATCATTTGGTACCCCGAAAAGTTTTTCTAAACAAGAAAACAAAGGAAAACGATTAAAATAGACACCCCTTCATTATGTTATGTTCTTAACAGTTTTACAAGTTTCTTTTTAGCATTACTACTGTCATAAATGAACGATGAAATAGCATTGTGCAATCTAAGATCAAACCCCAATAATATTCACTATATAATCCATTATGACTCTTTATGACTCTTTATGACTCTTTCAATAAACTAACACTGATTTTAAGGTTATTTCTATAATTTTATGACTCCATCAAATTATGTTCCCTTCTCAATTACTCTTCAATAATTGCAGCAATTTACAATAAATCATTTGGTGTTCGTTGCTTGGGTAAACATAAATATCGTTATTGAAGGAAAGGCTCTCGCTATCGACGTATAATGACAAATTCGCTATGATTTATATGCCTCGTTTCTGTCGGGGATTGCAGAATAAGCTATCTGTAATTGAAACGTAATGAACGGATACTTCTAGATAGACTACATTTCTGTCAATCTAAATCCATCTCTACATTTCTTGAATTTCGTCAGAGGAAACAAATGGAAAATCAACATTCGACACAGATAACGTGTCTATTTAGATACGTACATGCAACTCAGAGATTTTCGCAAATTAGTTACGCATCTTGTTTTATGAGGATGTCCGAAAACAAGATTATCCAAAATGATTAAGCTCTATACGAACTACACACGAACGTAGTTTACTACCGTCTTGAATGTCTTCCTAGACTTAACAAGTCGAATTTTGAAAAAGGCAATGATATTTCAACAAAGCCTTCAAATTACATTTATTATTTTAGAAATGGATTTAAATGTAATTTCAAAGTTATTTTGAGATATTGTATCAATTTAAAAATTCGACTGAAGTTGAAG